AGAGGAATACTCAGCCTGCGGCCCACGGTACATCTTTATGTGTCCCTTTAACCTGTCCGTAAATAACTTGGAGCTAAGGTCGTTTCTAGGGTACGTGATACGAATTAACATTTCAAAAATTGAACCAAATGCTAATTCTCTTGCGGAGCAAAGGCAGAACCTAGTTTCACTTTATTAATGTGATTATAAGTTGTTTTGTGTTGGTTGCGGTAGAAATATTTGAATGGTGCGATCCTTCTAGAACACGTTGTATCTTTTAATGTGCGCCGTCTGCGTGAAAGGTTGAACACCCCTGATATGGACAGAATGTAAGCATTGTACATGTCCTGCCCCCCCCCCCCACAGCCCCCCCCCCCCCCCAATTTTTCAGTTGTCACAACAAATTTTATATAGAAATAAACAAGGCCAAGTTTTCCAACAGAGATGTACAAGTACAATATGTGCTTTGTGTTGAATGGGACATGTGAATAACAGTCCATATAATTTTATAAAAGGAAATAAATTATAAAAGTCTTACATTTATTTAAAATTGGTGAGGCAGGCAATTATTATGTACCCTAATACATCTCTCACGTGACACAATTTTTGTGTATCTAAATATTACTAGCTGATCTAACCTTCACCAACACTATAATACCAAAACCAGAATGTGAGCAGTTCCATCCACTTCTCATATTCATGGCCTGTTTCTCTACTCTATATCTTAATGTTATCCTTTCACCTTTTTTTCATCCTTCTAAGAGGCCATTTTAAAAGAAACTTCCCACAAAAATTATGTATGTGTTCCTTGTCTCCGACATCATTCATTACCAGGCTACCAAAGCTTCCTAGATTTCACGAACCTGACAACTCCAGAAGACTTGCATAAACCATGAAATTCATTACGGGTATGTAATATACCAAACTTAGTTGTTCATAAATCAAAATGTTTCCCTCAGCATTGTGTTCAAATACTTGTAATGATAACTCAAAATAATCTCTCAAGAAAAAGATCAAAGGAAAAATGCACAGAACTTGACACATGATTTGCTTACAACAAAACAATAATGAAACTCATGCTCAGCATATCAGTTTACCTATTTGTCACACTAAATTACTACCAGCCTTGACTGAAAGCTATTATGAATTATTATAGAAGCAAAAAAATGTACATCAGCCCTGACAAATGACTCATTTACAACAAAAGTGGGAATTACAAATTACAGTCATATCAACACCTAAACACTCCAATGCACAATGGAACTCCCACCAAATTTATTCAGCAATTTGGCCGCATCTGCAAGATCTGTGCATGACTAAAGTTTCGCCTTAAAAATGGTTCTCTTCTAACCTTTCAGAAAGCATGGACACAATACGCTCTTAACAAACACCATACGCTGAAAGTTCAACCTCAGTACTTATATACGAAATGGTTAATCTAAAAATTAAATACAAAATCCTAATTGTAACCAATTTCACTGCACAAGTCGTTCTACAACTTCCAAAATGTATCTTGCCGAAAAACCGCCTATAGCTAATGTGTTCTTGTCCATGTTTATGCACTCCCCCTGAAAGTTTTACACTCATATTTTATTTTAATAAACAGTACAAATGCATGTTTACTTACTCCCATTTCTGTTAAAACATTTAATTTTGTATTTTCATCATAAATGTCAAATATTTCAACACAGTTAAACCTCCATTCACGAGAACACCAACACTTCTGTACTGGTCGCCGTTCCACTTAATGGCCCTTCCCCCGATGTCACATATTCTCAACATATCAAATAAACAAACCATACGAAATGAAAACTATACACAAAACATTACATTAATAATATAAAGAACCTTAGTACTGATATCAGAATTGACGTATTTATTGTATATTATATGTGAATAAAACCAATGGTTACAGCACCACACGTATCACGGCTGCCATCCGAAATCGATGAAAGCAATTGCATAGAAACGCATTCTGTTATCAAAAAATAGAACTGAGTTATTTGCACGTTATATTTCAATCACAGATGTCAGTGTAACACAGCTTACAAATGTTCCCGAATAATCTCGGGCGTAGTAAGGAATGCAACACAGTTACAGAAACCGAAATTATGCCTTAAGTAAGGCACATGGGAAAGAGAAATTTATTCATTATTTAAGCATCATGCCATTCAGTCAAATGGGGAACTGGAGGTAGACCTGTAAGTGCTGCATTAACCTCGGCATAATATAAATGCAGGCGAGTGGACAGCTTCATGCCCTGTCTGTTTTTCCCTGAGGAATAAACCTGAAACCCAGTGTTTACATACAAGGCTTGGTGGTCCCCAGAGCCAGTTTGTATGTTATGGAGAACAAAAAAATCATACACTTCCAGGAAATTAACCCATCATCAAGCTCACTATACTGATGAAACTGTCACAGCTATCACATGTAATACTCACAAATAAATATAACTGGATTATTTTCTGTTTATGTAAGAAGAGATTTGCTCTTTTGGCCTTTTCTTGGCTCCGCTCTCTGAACACAAGCACCAAGCACTGCTACATAAGTTTTCTCTGCTGAAATAGACAGTTGACAGATTACTCTGAATGAGTTAAATCTGTTAAAGCTACTCAATGTACTTCAAACTGAGCAAACTCAATCTAATTTTTCTAATATATATTTTAATGTTAAATTCTCACCTATGGCTTTATATCCCAAGGTATCTCTTTCTTTAAGTTTTTGTGATTCTTATGAATTTCTTGCTTCGTTCATGCATGCAATATCAAACCCATCCAAAACTCCTTTCCATACTCATCCTGTCATGATCACAGAACTTCCCAACATATAATCTCATTCACATCAATAAAGCACAATCTATTCCCATAAGCAATACTTATTTCCTTACAGGCTATTTCAAAGTTTATATATAAACAGCTAATCATTTTCCAATAATATCTGACAATTACACGAGGTAACTGACAGTGATCAGTTACATTAGAATTCACATTGATAATCACACATACTTATACTTCCAGAACTGAGTTACCATTAGTGTGTAAATCACTAGTTTTAAAAATAAATATGCCAGATTCCCCCCCCCACTACTAGGGTAATTCCTCACCTTGTCTTATTAAGTAACTACATAATTCTGCCCTTTTATAAAAGAAGAGTGTAAAGTTAAGTACATAGTAAATAAACAAGTTTATAATACTCTAAGCCAGTGGTCCCCAACGCGCCAAGCCTTCTTTTGGGTGCCCGCGTTGTTACGGAAAGAGGTTATACTGAATAATGAAGACTGTTCAACCAGGAAAATTATAACATCAAAGCACAGATCTCTACTTACTGATGCCCATCTTGATGACTGTTTGCGAGCAGCAACATCATCCTACACTCCTAAATTTGAAAAACTGGCCAATGAAATGCAGCGCCAAACATCACACTAACTTCCCACTTGAGTAATAATAATTGTACTTATAAAACTACATATTTTTGATTGCGTGGTTTCTTGTATCATTAAACGTTGTGTTGTTTCGTGTATTATTTGGTGTCCATATCTTATTTGTCCAGAGAAAAGAAAATTTGGCTTGGTTAATTGGTTGGTGCCCGCCACGATCTCATTAACTCTCAAATGTGCCCGTAGGCACAAAAAGGTTGGGGACCACTGCTCTAATCTATAGGCTGGATGGTCAGCATTGAATTCCTCAACATTCAGACCAGCTCTGGGACCCACTTAGCATATCCAATGAATACTGGAATACTTTCATTGTGGGTAAAGTGGCTGGGCTATGATATTAACCACTCACCCACATCTAGAGCCAAAGTAAAGAATGTGTGGTGCTATACCTCCACTCCTCTTATAACTGCATGGTGTGGAGCAGGGACAACATTTTTCAGAGTCAATATATATGTTAATGAATACAAACAAAAGTGAAGTTGATAAAATCTTCCCAGGCAACAAGCTTTGTCAGTTGTGGACAGAAGCCCACAACTGACACCAAGGCTTATTGCCCAAGAAGATTTTATCAAGTTCATTAGCAGTGAAAGCTTCAATTCTTGTATGACAGTGAAGTGGCAAAACTTTTTTCTCTACTGGAGACATCACTCAATGTCAAATAATATTAAACTGAATTGCTGTCATGATACTATTAGAGAAACATTTTGTTCTTCACTTCAGATTTAAACCAGCCATGATAGCGGATCATATACTAATTTACTTTCACATGTTATCATGGCAAAATCAGATGTTACATATATAAAGTAGTATGTATGATACTAAAATTAATGGAAATTGATGAGTAGCATTACAGCAGAGTTGATTTTGCCTACAATTTTATTAAACTGTTTGTGCATTGACATAGCACAGTATAGAATAGTTCTCATTACAAGCAGTACTTGTAATATTTATCTTTCAATGAATATGTTTACACACATATTTAAGTAACATCAAATCATGTGCATTAATCTGGTGTTGACAGAATATAATAAGAGTCTTTTCAAACAGATGCAAAGTTTTTCAAACTTATACAGTTTTGACAGATAGATACCACCAATCCAAAGTACACATGACAGCAGTGAAACAATATCTTTCCAAATGAAATCAACATGTCGGTAACTGGCCAAGTCTTAAATGTTCACGCTTTTCTAGTACATACAACCACAGCATTTCAAAACAGACATGACTGTATTTGCTTGAACAATTCACATACTGTACTACACATTATTACAAAGTAATTGATGTACATTCTCCAGTATTTATATATTTCTGTGACAATATCTGGTATACAAGGAAAATCCTGATAAGGTGACAATGTCTGTAGGTATACTATTGTGTACCTTCATATTTTTATAGAAAATGCCATGTTTTCTTACATCTTTAATATCCATCTTTACATTTTTAGATGAAAATAACTTTTAATCCAAAAACCTTACCACTGAAGTAATCAAGCAATAATCACATCAGCAAAACACCTGGCCATTAAGATTCAATTCCTAACATTATTTAGAGTGGTGAAGTTGACCAAACAATATCATACAGCAGCTCGCATTATTTGTGTTACTCTAGATGTGACAGTCTTCCAGTTTCTTTTATATTGTGTTATAACAGTAAAAAAATATAAACTCATCAAGAATAATAAGGCATGATTCACACTGAAGCAACAAGAAACAAGCAATCATATATCAATACATGTTGATTATAGAAATAGCATACATTTTAATTTATATCTTAATTGCGTCATGCTTGTGTTCTACCGTTCCGTAATATCGGACACGCACATCACACACAACCCGATTTAAGGCATCTAGACGCAGCCTCCAAATTTAATGGAAGAAGCCTGAAGGTTAAACAAATAAAATCTAATGGGTAGAACAAATCAGTATACGCAGGGCAGCAAGTGCAACAGATTTTAAATTTTAATTGATAGACCTGACGATGATGGGATGAACATCGAAACATGTCGTCATTTTAAAATGTAACAATATCAAATGAAGAAATGTTATAATTTTATGTGATTTTAACAATCTATAAGCTTGTGTAAAGACGGTGAATAAAATTATTATACATTTTAATGTTGTGTTCACACTACAATGATGGTGATATCTAACTATTACTCAGCGAGGGGACATGTACCAAAAGCAACGTTTGTGATATGGCACTCAGCAATAAATATCACCCATCATTATGGACAGGTTATTTTTTTGTGGTTGTGGCTTGTCCCATTATCCAATGAATCATCTAATGTGCAACACATTAGAGTAGGTAGTAATTGTGACTGCTGACAAAACAATGAACTTTTAAGTTGATACAAATTAAAGAATATGTGGTTGGCAATTATCATTTTATTCAGACATTTTCAGAAACCAGCAATTTGGTTGCTTTGGTGTGAATGTACAGGCAATATAATATCGGGCATCCCGAAGGCTTGTTACCAGTCACTTCAGTGTGAATTCTGCATTAAGTCACACATCTGAATGTAAGTGATATATACATTTTGCCAAAGTAAAACTAAAACTTAGCTACATAAAGGTTGGGAAGATACATAACTTCAATGTTAAATACTTGCCAGACATTTTACTTCATGTTATAATATTCAATGTATAACTTACTGAAAATTTATCTTTTGTTCCTTCCTTATTCTTCTTTGCTGTTTTGTTGCTGAATACTATTGCAGCAGGATGTACAAGTACAAATGTTGCATGTTTTTATCCACTTGAAAAATTGTATGCATCACCTAAAATAAATTTAAGTTTTGTAGCTGATTATTTTTGAACAATCCCTTTAACAAAACAACTGCTTGTTTCATAACCCAACCACTTCAACTTGACAACACATATTTTTCCTTTCCTTATTCCAGTGTAATGAGACTGTTCTTCACTCCACTGAGGTCAGTTACACTTTTGAGTGTGAAATCAGTTAAACTATGATCCCCCTTCAGTTGTCACTTCATAGTTTCAATATTATCTACTCTTAACTTCAATGTTTAGTTTAATTTCGTATCAGCATAAATCATACTCATATATAATTTAAAGGACACATTCAATGTCAAATAATGAAAGCACAATTTTTAAATAATAGACAAAATAAATCTGTCAGCTAGTAAACATTGTCATAAACATGATGTAAAATCCAGCTCCAGCAAGTGATCAAATCACTTTCTATAAAAATGTCCAAAAATATGGAAGACGTTTAGCAGCATCACATATTATGATTTTGCCTTTCTTTTTATAACACAATTTTGATGAAAATTATTTTATACCAATTTTTATACAAGAGATCTTCATAATTCCCACATATATTTAATATTTACTGAAATTGCAGCACCCTTCTTACCTTCATTCCCTCAATATAACAATAATAAACTTTAAAACTCTTTATCAAATTGGATATCAATCTTACAATAAAACTATAAGTGTTGATTGGAGGGTTATGCTGCTCAGAGAGCATCATAAAGCCCATATATATTTTTCATGGTAACAACCACAGCTTCAATACCTGTACAATAATTGTAAAGAATGAGATAAAATATAAGTCAACATTTATAATTTCTTAAAGATGTCTCCCATACCAACCAAATCCTGCATCTTGACTTATGCTATTCCTTGTCCACAAAGAATTATATTTGTGATGGATTACTGAATTATGGATAGGGTTGCCAGACATTCATTCACACATGTGGATCGGACTGTCTCTCATATCACAGTCTCATACACTTATCCATGAAAAGTCTGTTGTGATACAGCTGTTTCATATTTGAGTGGCCCTCATACACTGACTTAAAAAAACAATAATCATCTATATTTGTCTCTATAACTTCCTCTTTTACAACTTGTTTTATGAAAGAATCCCAAGAACACGATATATTCTCTAAATCAAATATCAGGAACTGTTCCATAATTACTACTTGTCTAACAGCTCATATTCATCATTTCTGTGTACAACACACATGCACAGTGTACTTCCTTCTTGTGGGTCATGTAAGAGACTAGTGAAGACAGAAAACGACATCTTTACTGTGGAGTAAATTATGTAGTGTATGGTAAACCAAAAACATGTCAACAAGTAGGCACTTCAAAACAATGAAGACAGATTGCCTCATATAAACATAATATTAAAATTAACACAACTGTTGCCATCAGTTTTTAATATATTTAAAATGTTGAATACATTATTAATTCTAAAAGTAAAGGTTTAATTTTTATTAATCTTCCTTTCCAGTCCAAATATTATATCCAGCATATGCAAATCATAAATGTGGCAAGCCCAATTATGGAACAATTCAAAATATCATAAGCAGATAAACTGAGAAGCACATTCAACTATGAACTGTCATATTTACCCCTGTTCAGTATATACACCAGTAGATCCCAAAAGTATATAATCACACCTCTCTAAGGGTTTACAAATCCCTTATTTTTATTTTAAATTTTTAAATAAATGCCTTTAAACAAAGAACTAAACATTCCTGAGCTTCTTTACTTATAAACTACCTATTTCTTACAAATTACTGGAAACTACTGGTATATGTATCAATGAAGTGAACATCTTGTTGACCTAAATAACACATAAACACTGAGAGAGAAATATGGACACTGCTCTTGTCCATACAAGGCATGAATAAGCTACTGTCTCTGTACTTATAACATGACAGGAAATCTAGAAAAGTACTTCCTTTATATGCAAGAGTAAACAATACAGAAAGGTTACTGCAAGAAAACAATGGCATAATCACATAACACTGTTATTACTTTTATATTTATTATAAGTGGCCTCTACAGTTTCACAAATAAAAATACTTTTATAATGCCAGTTCCTGAAATCATCTCTTATAGATCTTCTACTACAATACAATTCTAACAGACTGCAAACCATAAAAATTAAAAACCAATGCAGAAAAAAGTTACTACAAAACAAAAATATCACCACACCCAGATACTACACAGTCTTATTGAAACACTTCCTTTAGACAATATGTGAAACATAGGCATTGTTACATGATTTTTGAGGAAATGCATTTTTAGAATGATATTTTAAAGTTTTTCAACCTTTAATATTGTACAAAACACAAAGCTTTACAGGGTGTAGTCACCAATCAAAGGTTTTGTTCATCACATCGGTAAATGATACACCATATGAACCTACGTACTGATCCATTTTCACTTACATGGGATGAGTTTACTTTCTGTAAATGCCTTCCTCTGTTATGACTGAAAGCATTACCAAACTAAACAAAAATTGAACATGTACGATGTGCATTAATATTTTATCATTGGCTTCTTGAAGCCAGTGCCAACATTTTCAGCACAATTCTCAATATGCTTTACCCACACTGTAATAAACATTAAAATATGGATTCTATACTTACTATGACCAACATTTCAAAAAACATTATGTCCTTTCTTTTTAAATAATATACACATTTTCATAAAAACATCAGGTTTGAGATTTACTTCCATTCCAGTTATTTTAGTAACTTTATCACCCTCTTCTATTTTCCAAGTACAGAATGTTAGACCTGTACATTGTTTATTAACCAAGACAATCTTTCCACGGTTCAGAAATTCTATGATCACATTTGAATAACTGGCTTATATAAACAAAATGTTTAGGTTAAATTTACACCACCTTGATTATCTAAAATTAAACAAAATGATTTTATGTGAGAAAAAAAGGGAGAATGTCAGATAGTGAGTTGTCATTCTTTCTTGAATTCTCATACATCTCCAGTATAGGTTGTCTTTCTTTTGGGCCTTAAAAAGACCCTATGAGTAATACTCTGACACATTCTCTCCACAAATTATCATACATTTACAATTATACATTACAAATGTACCTCAAATACAACTGAGACCAAGAAAAAAAATTAAGTATTAGATACATGAGGTACCTCAGTAAAATTGGACATCACCATAAAAAAGTCATTTAGGGTAAATTATCAGAATGCCAAGATCATCCATGGAAACATCTTAAAAAAAAGTTACACTCAGTAACTGACTCCAGGTCATGAAAGAGCAACCTTTGTGGATGGGTATTTGTCATCCGTTTACAGCCGAGCATCGAGTAGAACAGTTGCCCATGGTTGCAGACTGTGGAAGCCCGACATTTGGTTTGGTTCTCCCAACAGGAGGGAGGCAAGATAAATGTAAGAGAGAGAGCCAACAGCATGCTATCACAACACTAATCCCTGTAACTCTTTCAGCAACTCATCTTCTTTTTTGATTTTGTCTAGTTGGTTTAATTCAAGCTGGCGACCAGCAGCTCGCTGTTCTTTGAGTCGTGAGATTTCAACAAGCTTCTACAAAACAGAAAAAAACAAAACATTAAACACAGTTTCAGTTAGAGCTTATTGTAAAAAGAATATGCACGAGTATAAGGATCTGCAATCCACTAAACTCCATGTCTCTATGTTCAAACTTCAATTTCTATTAACTAATTACAAGGGACAAAAAGAAACGTGCCTGAAGCAAACAGGTCATACTTCCTTTCATTGTGATTTTCAGCTAATCCTAAGGAGCTACAAAGAAAATTCACAACCATTATGAACTATATGTAAGTTATATTTACTATTTATCTCTTTACTACTAAGAAGTGAATTTTCTTTTTCACAATGCTAACATGTCAGAATTATAACCTACCAATATATATCACTGTGTTACAATAGCAACATGATTTCAAATTTGTTGCAGCTCAGAAATAATTTCCTATGTTCTTGCTGGTTAGTACAAGACCTACAGAAGCAAAAAAAAAAAATACATCCTTTACAAGAAGTAATTGCTTCACAAAGAAGTCTGTTTACATAAAAATTGTATGTTTTTCACAAATGCATATGCTATAACTGTTTGACTTACACTTTTCAGCTTCTTTATTTTCTTTAGCTTCTCTGGATCTCCTGTAAAATCAGCATCTGCAAGTGCTATTGGCAACTTAGGTGCTGAAACTATTGTTGAGTCACCATTTGTAACAACAGACACCCCCGTAGTTGTTGTTGTTGTTGTTGTTGTTGTTGTCGTGCCTGTTGCAGTACATGCAGTAGTAGTACAAACAGCACCACTACCACCACCTGTGTTTCCTCCGTCTTGCTCTTTCTTTGCCTTCTTTGCTTCACGCTTTTTCTTCTGTTTTAAAGCTGCCTTTGAAGGGTTTGCTAAAACAAAACAGCATTAATAATAACAGTTTAATCTTTACATCCAAAATAAAGTCCAGATTAAATTCTATACCTAATAAAATCAGGATGCACAAGAATCTGTTTATGTCTGAAATCAATTTTAATGAAGTGTGACCTCCATACAGTGACAATTTATAATATTTAGAAAAAATATTCAACCCAACAAGAACTCATATCTGAAATTTGTTAAAATATTCTTAAAATGTGTCTAATAACTCCTGTGTGCACATATCATTACACTGCACAATGTTTTAAAAATTAATCATCACCTATTAGTAAAAATAAGTTTAAAACAAAAAATCCTAGTATGTGTTAAGATGCAGTTTTGAGACTCCAGATTCTCATAAGCATCTTTTCCAGTTTGCAATAATGACTTCCTGCTGGGTCACACACCCAAAACATTTTGAAACTGAAATGTTAACAACTATGATAAATGAGTAATGATAATGTTCATAATTTTCTTAAAATTAAAATAAAAGAAACAGAAACAAATTAAGGTTACTGGCAATGCTCTTCACCTGTGTTACACTACAATGTGAAAACAACATATAAACTCACAGTCTCCACCTGGTCGAGTGTTGCTTGCAGGCTCCTCATCATCATGAAGCTTGAAGTTACTCTCACGTCCTCGAGCTGACGGAGGACGATATGCTTGCTTTGAAGCTGGAAACAGGCCAAAATTCTAATTTACTATGTGAAACTTTTAATCTGTTTTGTTAAAAAAATTCCAACTGTATTACTTGCAAGATTACACTCCTGATTTGTTAATGTTATACTCATTTTGTATCATCTGTACAAAGTATCATTTAGCCTCTACTGTACAAGAACACTCATACTACATATCTACTGGCTAAACTTACCTCCAGGGTTAATGGTTAGTGGTACAACGAGACACACTGCCAGGATGACCGAACATAATGACACAATGCTAATTGGTTTGGAATAATAGTCCAACATGTAAAATTCATAATTTTTACACACACTTCTCAAAACCAATTAATAACACCATTAAAATACTTTTAAAATATAAAAAAATCATTTATTTAGTTTTATATTTTTATTCAAACAGTTTTTTAATTACCCCTACGATTAACAAGATGCAAAAAAAAAAGTTACATCTAAATGTGAAGTTTTAGTTTTAAAGGATAAACCAAAATAAAATTCATGTAACAACACATCAGAATAAAATTTTATTGTATATTTTACACATCACATAACATAAAAATCTACCACATTACTTATATTAAACATGACAAATGAGGCAGATGTCAAATGTTGTGTCTGAGCAGTTAGAACGTTTGCTTTATATTTAGTAGGTCTCAAGTTCAAGTCTCAGCCCAGAGACCGAACATCCTGGCTGAGGTTTTGTGGTTTTCCTCAGTCCCTCCAGGCAAATACTAGGATAGTACCTTAAATTAGGCCATAACCATTTCCTACTAAATCCTTTCCAATTCATTACTCCTTATCATCTAATCATTTTCACTGTGTAATCTGGACTACTAATAGCATCATAAATAAATAAAATTTACCTCTACAATGCAGAAATATGGTTTTCTTAATTGTATTACCTATGTATGTATTTATGATGTGAATACTTATACAAAATTCAAGGCAGTGAACAAAAATATTATAATTCAAAATATGAATACAGAATTTGACACCAAAAGTACCTGAAATGGAAATGTGCCTGTATATGCATCATGCCTACGGAAGACTGCAGAATTAGGCAAGAGTCATGTGGAATAATGGAAATCTAATGTCAAAATACAATGTCCTACTGATCATGACAAACCAGTAGGATTATTTAATGAAAGATTAAACTATTCACTATAGTTAAAAAATAAAAACACAATCCTTAATGGCTTACCCTGTGGTTGGCTTGGCTGTATTCCTTCAACAGGTTTATAATTTATCACAGGTTCATGAAAAACACCAACTGGAAACAACTGCCACAGAACTTCCCACAGTTCCTCTTGTTTGTTCCATGGACGCTCATACAATAATGTTCCACTGTAGTGCCAGATCTTGAACCTCACGCAAGAGTAAATCAGTCATAAATACAACATTAGTCAGTCCAACACCAAATATTCTTGTACAAAAGTAAAGAATACTAATTAACAACAATTATGAAAAATAAATTCAACATGCTTCATGTACTGATAAATGTTTCTCTTTTCTACTTAATTTATGTTAAGTTCCATGACATTACGCCTATTTCATAAATTTGTTACAGAAAATGTGTGCAATTATAAAGAGAATGCTTCACAAGGTAAAATTCCAATTCAAAATTTATTACAGACATTAATCTATTGCTGCAAAACTGATCACGACAGATATGCAGAATGTTAATTTACATCAAAGAACTATTTTCAATATTGACCTGTAATGTCTTTTAACAAATCACCACTTGCATAAAAGAAATTACATTAATTAGGATGACTGATATTTTTGGACAAAGTCCATCATCTTAAGTTTCTTCAAACGTGATGTTCCAGAAATTGGACATTTCCATCCTCAGGTGAAAAGATAGATAAACTGCACCCTCTTCTGTCTGCTAGAAAAAGCTATTCTCAATCCCTGGACCTGAAAACAGCTGTATGTCTATGGGATCCATCATAGTGGGATTCCTCAATCTCCACCTTTTCTATCACTTGGAAACAGGAACAGACCCAATTTCCAAAATGTTGCGCATTAAAAAAAGATGAAGGTGATGGACAATGTACAAAATCCTGGTCATGTTACTTATCATACACCATCATAAAAAACTTTAATCTCAAAAACTGCATTAGAAAAACTGCATATTATGTACAAAAATATTTACCCGTTTCCCATTCGTAATCTTGGAGCAGTAGTTGCTGTGAGAAAATGTTCACCATCAGGTGACCAGTGAAGTAATGTGGTATCAGGTACCTCCATCTTGGCTATCAGCTTCCGTGCCGATGTGTCCCACAGTTCAGCATTACCTTGGATATTACCAAATCCACCAAGGATCAAGAGTAGTATCAGTTAAAGGAACACATTTCAAAGGAAAAAGCTAAAATTTTGGCTTACAAATTAAATGTTTTATTTTGATCATAATGTTATGTCTTATAATCTACAGTTAAGAGATAGAAAACTTTAAATTTCCTAATGTGCATGTAACACTTTTGTAACACATAGTTTAGAAATTATGATAATCATTAATTAATTTCTAAGCCTCATCTTATTTCAGTGGAAGCTAAAAAGAAACAGCAAAGCAGACTGGGTTGTGGGATTTTTTACATCCAGAGCAGTGATTAAATTTGTATTTCACCAATCATCATCAACAGCATTCAGATTTCACAAGGTATAAACATGGCTTTATACACTTAATTTGTTTCTCATATCTTCTTCACTATATTGGCACTTGTAGAGAACTGATGTGGTTTGATGTTCCTTCGCCACAGTTATTTTCTTGTTATGCTACCATATTTTATTCTGCCTGTGTCAGCATCATACATTTTATCACATTTTCTGTCATAATATTTCATCTATTAAAATCAGACATGCAGATATGATGTGCAGACAAGACAATTTTCAGTTGATGAAAAAGTGAAACTAATTCATGGACGAGGGAAGAGAGTGAATAAAATAAAATTCATGTAAAAGAACATGCCATCCAGAAGAGACAAACTACCATTTGAACAACTTGAAGAAATGTATTCCTTATAGATAAAACAGCAATAAAAGGATATTATTTCCATGTGGGTTGTAGTAAATGCAGTTCCGTGGCCCAATACCAAACTCAAACACAGGCTCACATTTGAGATTAAATAGAGTAGCTTTAGAAGGCATGAAACCATAAACAACACAAAACTCCGAACTCTTTGGACTCCATTCCACACTGTAGATTGGGCCTTCTTTGCCTGCGTAAAAGTAATACATAAATATTAAAGCTTGAATTATGTACATCTATGCACAAAACAACAGCATATCATATCTTCCACAAGAGGACAGTAATCTTTACCTCCGGAAAGGCAACTATGAATATCAGCAATCCAGAGTGATACATTCAAACCTACTTACTAAGAAGTACCATGGCTGTTTCTCCTTTGGTACTGATGAAGTGTAATGCCTGTTTCCCATAGTATGATGAGCCAGACTTGTCTACTTCTGTGCTGGTCATAAGAAGAACACCTGTACCTCGCTTATTCCAGAACATGTCCACTTTGTCAGCCTGAAAGTTGCAACTTTAAATCATCGCCAATTTTCAAGTACAGCCTAAACATATTATTCTAAACTGGCAGTTCACAGATTCATATTTTGTATCTCATTACTGTTTGTATCACCAGAGTACTGCAGAACATGACCAAAATTATGACAATAAAATGGTACAGACTAACATTAAAGAAATTCTAATATACATGCATGTGTTAAAAATATTTACTGCAATAATCATACGATAATGTGCATAGCTACCTTCTCAACAGATATAACACAGAAAAAAATTATGCAACTTTCAGAAAAGTTGAATAAAAACTAAGCTAAATATTTCAATAAAAAAGAACAAACACAAGCAAGGATGCTGCAATCTAATATAGAGAAGATTCTCTGCTTCTCTGAAAATGAATATAAGGCCGATTAATTAGCCCCTTGTGTGAACTATGTTATCCACTACTGAATGAGCTTGACCTACCAATTTTTAATGGTTATAAACACTAGACCACAAATGCCAAATCTTTCCCATTCAATGGCATAATACTTAATTTTGACATTCTGACTAAAAAGTGTAATTCCCAATCAATCTAACATATGCATAATCTTTGCACTCACATTTACCATTCTTTCCCACCAAAATACCACGATAACTAAATATATAAAATGTATTTACCTGGAAAAAGCTCTTGTTTGCCAACGAGTTTGTACTCTCAAATTTTGGATACTGGAATAATCTACCAAATGATGGCTGTCCTGATTTGCCTGCATAAAACACATATAAAAGAATACATATTAATAGTTCAAAACCACATAAGAAAGAATAAAGAAAAAATAAGTGCAGTTTGTGATAAATGCAGCAGTCATGTTTCCTTGTACTACAAAGCATTCATAGTTTATCACACTACATTTTGAAGTAATGATCACAGTTTCTTTAACAGGTAGGACCAGACTCAAAAGTGGATGCTCTATTTCATCAATGAGCTAAAGGTTGACTGAATGCTATGCATGCCTCACTACTTCACTTATTACACACATGTAAGTATACAGTGAAACCTCTATCCATCGTTCCCGGAACTATCGTTTTCCCGGATGCATCGTCCGTTTTGTTCGGTCCCGAATACATCCCATATAAAATAATGTTACATTTTCCCGCTTCTATCGTTCCTCGAACTATCGTTTTATCGCATCGATCCTTAAAAAATCTTAGTCCCAGCACACAATTTTCCCGCAATGATCGTTTCTGAGAAATTAAAATGCTGGGTTTTGAGATAAATTA